TCCCTAAATACCCCTTGAACATGTCAAATCTTACCTTATTCTTCCATAGGTCCCTGAATTCCAGTGAGGTGCTTAAAAATTAAGGTAAATTTTTCAACTTAGATCAGTATATTTCTCATCTTGGATATGAATATGAATATGATGGTTTGCATTCCCATAGCATCTTGTGTGCAAAGATTTCAGAGCATTTTGTAACTAATAATATAACTATGTAACTACAAAATAACTTTTAAAATGTTCCAGCAAGGTAGAAATTTGAGAAAATTAAGAGAAAATATTTGTAAAAGTGCCAACTAATTCTAATTAGCTAATCTGAGACACAGACTATCCTTCCCTAACACAATGAATAACCACAATATCATTAAATTAAAATCAGCCCCCTTGTACATGTCTTAAGAACACTGAAAAATGAAAATGCACCAGAATGACACACAAAACTGGAAGAATCCACCTTCATTAAGGGCTGAATCTTATTGTATAAGCAGCCAGTTTAGAAGCATTCTAGATGGTTGCTGTAGCTAGAAGAGGTGTTCACTATCTTATTGAGGAACTAGAGCTGAGACACCACAGAGATCAAAATCTGAGGTCACTGACGTTGCTTGTTTCTCAGTACACAGTTACACGTGGCACATCTACCTAAGCAACCTCTTCATACAGAGCCCTGGCCAGTAGCTGCTGCACTCATGTCACCTTTTCCATCAACCTCACACAGTTCTCTAATAAGCAGAGTTTAGAGAACTTATCTCGCTTAAAAACACACAGAAGGAAAGAAAAAGGTTACGTTTCAGGAGGATTTGTTGTACAATTTAACCTGCTGTAGACGAAGAGGATGCTAATAGCACTCTGGCTCTACTCTTCAGATTCAAGTACAGTAAAAGAACTCATTCTGGTTTTTGTTAGCTCTGGTGCTGCCAAGCTCTGTCTTTATGCTAAGAATTGAATAACTAGGGAGAGCTGAAGCAAAATACTCCCATTCTATTCTATACTAAGAACGGAGTTCTCTATCAAAGACAGACCTACATCCTATGCCATCTCTGCACTAGTGAGCAGAAATTTCATGACCTACTCTAAGTGCAAACTAGAGGAAGGTGGGTTACAGATCCTGAATCCTCACTCACTGACAATCAGGAAAGAAAACCCCTTTGCTTGATTTCAGGAACAAATCTATCATTTTAAAATTTTTAATACATTAAACTAAAGTCAAGAGCACAGATCCCTGACCATTGCA